TCTATGTCCAAACTTGAATCAAACTCCCATGACAAGATTCTATGTCCTTCCATGATTGCTCCTGAAAACCCCATGGTAACTTCTGTTGGAGTTTATAAACATACGTTAATTTATGTAAATATGTTAGGAGTTGATTTACATAAATATAATGGAGTTATATTTGCATAAATATACTTCTAATTACATAAACTACAAAAGCACCCCTTGAGTAATGTCGATGCCGATTGAGAAACGGCACATGTATGTTAGGTTGTGAAAAGCACCTATTGAATCATGCATCGCTTGAATCAATATATAGACATCACGACAAAGAGGAAAAAAGAGACTTGATTCAAACTTCTTCTTCTCTAAAAATCGATTTCTAAGAATCTCAAAGTAGGTTTGCTAGGGTCTCTGTAAGGTGTTAATACAGAGATCGATAATTGTATCCTGCAAGATAGACACCCATTGAAACTACTTACACCGCGGTAGGGGCGAAATTCTGTCTTAGGAGATTGCGATTCGCAAGCCTCTATCAAACGTATTTTCCGATCATTCAACCATAGAAGAAGAAATCATCAAGTGAGTTTTGTTTGTTTCAATTGTATTTCGTTTTGGTTATCTATTCATTAAGAAAACATATTTGTATACGAGTGTTTGATCTGCATCTATAATTACAAACAACAGCTTCCGCGGGAGCACGTTTGTAAGGTCAACGATGTAGAAAAGGCTTGAACTCTCTCGAGGATTAGATGTTTCTTCATAACTCCAAGAGACGCTCAGGTTTCTACGAGCAGAATCATATAGACCCGTGCATGACCTATATCTTGACTGTGAAAGCTTGCATTCCAAGAAGTGTAGTTAGAGGAAATAAGTGAGTTATTGTTGATCCCGACATGAGGGCCTATATCAAGAGGATCCCATTCAAGATTATAATATGTATCGAATTCGATATGTACAAGCGGGACCCGAGATGAGTAATCGTTGGTTTCATTGAAAAGATCCAAGAAACCACTAGCTGAATTGGGAGGGACAACGATGCCTGCCGGTGCAAGGAAGAAAGCAAAACCATGGCCATAAGTTGTGAGGTTACGCGTATCGACCTTGAAGGTGAAACTTGTGGTGAAATCGGAAGCCTTCCCCGTTTCAGAATCCCAAATGGCAACTTTTTTACCATAAGTAGCCCAACCAACACGACAAGTAAAACCAACATTGTTCAATTCAATCGCGCCATTTGGTTTTGCGTCTTCTTGGTAAGCTATGAGAGGATCACCTGGTAAAAAACGAGAGATGTTAAAGTGAAGTGAGTGAGCAAAAGGG